TAATATGATTCTTAAAACTATAGAATGTAAAGTTTAAATGGGCCTTTCATGTTATATCATTAAATTTAGTAATACTATTTCTCGGGCATTAGGTTTTAACTCTTATAAGAATATACATATTTTTTTCTGTTAATGTACAAATATTTTTCCGATGTGTTTTGGATATTCCTTCTCTAATAAAAAGAGATACCATTTTGTTTTCGGTTGTACAAGAAAGAATATCAAGTATTTTTCTTTTTTAAATTTAATTAGCCACAATAAAGAAGGAACGTTGTAATACTACGTGCTACATTAACGACGTCTCTAGCGTAACTGAATGACTGTTCATATAGAAATCGCAAGTATTAGTCTCATACAACAACGCCCCCTATAGTTCGTTGCGATCGCGAATTGATTTAACAAAATGATCTTCAGATCAATATATTATAACTAAACTTCATTTTAAGCTCATTATCTTTTAGCTTTTCTTGCATGAATAAATAAAAAAATTTTAATTTAACGGAAATGTAAACATTATTGCATTTTCATTTTACATTTTAAAACACATTGTTTATGGCAGGAATTTAATAAACGCAATAAAATCATTCGTTTATTTTTTTACGTGCTTAATTATAACGCAGACACTACTTGTATATGATAGTTAGAAGACGAATTGATAAAAAAATGTAATGAAATTTACAGGGTAGTTAATTAACTACATTCATATTAACCAATTAAAAAGTCATTATTACATGATTAATTTAAATTGTGAAACACTTTATTTAAAGCAGGAATTTTGTAAAAAAAACTTAATAGCATTCGTTGATTTTTTTATGTTAATAACCATAACAAACGCATTATTTTTTCGTTATAATTTAAAGGTGATTTAAGTAAAATGTAACGAAATTTACGCAGTAGTTTATGTACTGTAAAAATAGTGGTATAGTAGCTTACTCAATTTGATGTTAAATAACCCAAAGTACTGTGTGAAGGAACATTTTATTTTTTAAGTTAACGCCAAATCGAGCCTCTATATATACTTTAAAAGCGTCCATATATACTTAAAAAGCGTCCACATATACTTTAATCTCAATATCAACAATTTAATATATTGTAGTAACTCAAGCTATTCCATATTTAATAACCATGACGAACTCAATATTTTTTCGTTTTAACTTAAAGGTGATTTAAGTGAAATGTAACGAAATTTAAGCAGTAGTTAATATACTGTAAAAAGTAGTGGCATAATAGCTCTCTAAATTTGATGTTAAATAACCAAAAATACTGTGAGAAGGAACATTTTAATTTAAGTTAACACCAAATCGAGCGTCTATATATATTTTTTAAAAGCGTCCATATGTACTTTAATCTCCATATCAATAATGTAAGATGCTTGCACTAAGATCACTCCATTCGTAAAATGTTTTCGTTCACCAAATTCACCAATTTTAGCGTACTTTGGATATCGTGAGTAGATTGTTTACATTCAATTATGGAATAGAGTGAGTATTTTTTTTTCTTTTTCTTACCGTTAAAAGAAATGCCTACAGGACAAACCTACAGAAACAAAAGTTCCCCGCTGCAAAATATAAGTACGTTTTAAGTGTGTAATAAGAATAATTATATTTTAATTGTTAAATACTTGTCAATCGTATTAAATTCTTCAATATTTAATTTATATCCGCTTCTCTGTTTAGACGAACTCGAATAAAACTTAATCTCTCTGTACAACACGTATATTTAATTTATCAAATAATTCTATTTTAAGATGCATGTAGATCTCCTAAACTAAGTGTTCTTACTTAAAATTGTATCTTAAAAAGAACTTTAGTAACTCGTATGTGCATCGTATTTTATACTTATTATAAACAAGTTTAATTCCCGATCCTTGTACGAGGTGTAAAAAGAGAATGAATCAGTACTCAACAACAATAAAATATCAAGCACAAAACTGTAAGACAAATAACAACACAAATAATGAAGCTAAACTAATTCAATTTTTTTTATTTGTTATTATTTGTTGCCCTTCTCAGTGACTTTACGTTATTAGATAAAGCAAAACATGTACTTAGTCGTTCATCCAATCAATATAAAGATGAACTGAATTCTGTATCATCTATCATAATGTTATGGCTCTAGACAACTGGTGATATTTAGAATTTACCACAATCAAACTACTTTGTCCTGTTTTTATATCTTCAAGGGCCATAAAAAAACCTATTTCTTCGATATCTATCATGAACATATACAGTATAGATGCCACTGTAATTTTTTTACTTATTTTTTATTGTTAATTTAGTTATTCTTTAATAAATTGTCTATTTTATAATGAAACAAGATGCACTAAAAGTTCAGTTAAAAGTTGCACTGTTCAGTTGAAAACTATAAGGTAGTAAGAGCAATGTATATATTTTTTCCTTTAAGGAAAATTTACTTCTGTAAAATCGATAGTATTTTTTGCCTTTCTGGGTATTTTCCGCCGGAGCACCCATTCTTAAGTTGTTAGCGAACGTCCAGACAAAGTACAGATAAATAAATGTATTTCTAGGTGTTTCATAAAATTTACCGGGAGTTGTAGGACAATAGAAAACTTAATATAAAAAAGCAGTTAAATGTTATAAGGGAAAACCTTCGCTATGGGATGCTGTTTGAAACTGCTAATTCTTATTGCTCTTAATTTATTTTTTCATGCAAAATAAGTCTTGCTTTCAGAATGCCGTGCGCTTAGTATTTGTTGGAAGTCCTCTGGTTGATATCACTGCAAAATGTGACGCAGAAACTCTCACACAATATGGCCTAAGACCTGATGGCTGTATTAGGGCTTCTGAAAACCACAATGATTTGCTTTGCAAACTTTTCAAAGATCCAGATTCGTACCTGTCCGCCGGTGGATCCGCTCTGAACTCAGCACGAATCGCAAAGTGGATTCTCGACAATAAAGGATATGTATCTTTCATTGGTAAGGATATTAATCCAGTTTATTGTTCATTTATTATTTATTTCTTGACATGAGATTTAAGCTTACACTGTTGGAATTTTCATTCTGAAATCACGGCAGCAGGATCTCCATCCTATTCTGCATAAAGTTTATGGTAATAAAAAATTTTACCTTTATGATTTACAACTGGTATGGTTAAAAAACCATGAGTACAAAACTATACGGTTTTGTAGTCATTTACAGCTAACATAGTCTCTAAACCATAAAAATGAAACTTAAGAGGACATTTGAGCTGTGTGAGTTCTGCGCCTTACATTCGTGAATGATAGCTTCGTTGAGTCACCGATTGAAAAATACAGAATACTGGAAACTCTTCACGTAGTGAAGGAATGGAGGAAATATTGTACTATCAACGTTGGGATTCGAACTCCTGTTTTGCCAGTCATGAGATGACTCGTTAGTTCTCTCAGCTACAATATGTACACAGCTGCATGGAACAAAATGGCTTTATAAGGTGCACCTAGTTGTCGCGGATAGAATTCTGGTTGTTTAACCGTATTAGGAAAAAACAATTTTAAGAAAGTTTGACAGTTTTAATATCATTTTTATAGTTATTTAACTATTTTTGTTGAATGCGATAAAGTAACAATTTAAATGGATATTTAACCATTTTGTAGAGTAGTATTTCAAACAGCATCCCATAGCGAAGGTTTTCCCTTATAACATTTAACTGCTTTTTTATATTAAGTTTTCTATTGTCATACAACTCCCGGTAAATTTTATGAAACACCTAGAAATACATTTATTTATCTATACTTTGTCTGGACGGCATACTTGCAGAGTAGATGTACGAATGTGTAGTAAAATTCATTCATAGGAAGCGTGAAAAAGCTTACATTTGTCCCACAATTTTTTTTTACAAAAATGCTGGATTTTTCAGCAAATTTTGAACACGTAATTCATTGTTTCGTACTGTTCAGGTAGAATGCATGATCGCTTTCCTTATTATTTAATCTTACATCCTACCTTTAAAGTTAAAACATGTAAATGAAAATACGAGGCAGTTGTTGTAAGTCTATTATGAGTATGTTTCCAAGAAGCATTATAAATTTTTTCTCAGACCATCTATCATACTGCGATTTTGAATGAGAGAATCAAAACGAATCACGTAAAGTTTGTCGAAAATAAATTAAAGTACAGCATCTACGCTCCAATGAACATCTGTCATAGGTCACATGTGTGGGTATACATGATCTTCTTCTTCTACTTGAGTGCAACTACCCATTTAAAGCGGAAGAAAATTCGACATTGTTGGAGAGTTCGAACACGGCGCTTCTCATTCTGACGAAACCACGAAAAAAAATTCCACGTGATCACGTGATTCCACATAAAAACATCACTTTTCTCGTGATTTCATCGTGATGAAGAGCGTCTTGTTTGACAGTTTGAGAGCTCGAAGCTGGGTAAATTTCTTTCATTTTAATTATCAATTAGAAGAAGTTTTTTTTAAACCTATTTTTCACCTTAAAAGTTTTACGATTATACCTTTTAAAAAAAGAAAAGTTGTTTGTCCGTCAAGGTAACTAGCAGATCAAAAAGAACTACTAAAGAGAAAAACCTCTACATAAGGTTTAAAAGAATAGCAATTTAACAATATCTGTGTTTTGTAGGTTGTGTTGGCAATGATACTTACAAAGATTGGCTCAACAATATTTTACAATTGGAGAACATTACCTCTTTGAATGTGGCCATACCAGGTGAAAGTACTGGTACTTGTATATGTTTGCTCACAGAACAAGGAGGTCGATCCATGATCACATCTCAAGCAGCGGCTGCAAAAATTTCCTCTCAACATTTACATTTAGAGCACATTAAAAGCAAGTTATCTGAAGCAAGTCATGTATTTGCTGTCGGTTACCTATTCAGTCATTCACCTGATGTAGTCCATGAATTAGCGAATGTATGCTCTGAGAGTCAGGTACTATATAACATCCAGGGTGTTCATTATTCACCGCCCTTATTTATCTAGTTTTAGTATCTTGATAAAAACGACTTTTGAAAATGAAAAAATTTTATCGAAGTTTTTCGAATTACTAGTGAGGAAAGCAAGATAAAAAAATGTGATCGCTTTATTACGATCACTGGTTACTCATGGGCCAAATGCTTTTTTTCTGGATTAGATGGCTCCGATAAATGCCACAACATTTCAAATCATGGGTTGCAAAAATTGTTTCAATTGATGTTTATCCTCTTGTCGTCGAATTGGTTTTCAAATCCTGCCTATATACACGTTTCAAGACGTCACAAAATACTTTTCCTTTGACAGTATTCTTATTTGTATTAAAATCACCGTCAAGACAGTAATTATAAGTTAATAATAAAAAGAATATAAAAGATACTTTAAATTATTATTATGTAAATACATTAAAAATACCTGCTGGGGAAAATAAAAATAAACAAACAGCAGCTGTCGCCATAGCAACTCATTCAATGACGACTCATGCGCACTATTTGCTATTACTCTTGAGAACAGTTGAAAAGTGTGATGACGTCCAAACAAAGTGCGCACGCCTTCAAACCCAAAGTAACACCCATTTTATACAATGAGTAAAAAATATCAAAAGTAGTTTAATTGTCTTACGCGACTTAAAAGTGTTTCTAATTATCGCATTTTGATTCCTCTCTGTCTTCTGTTGCAATCAAATAGGTCTTTTTTTTTATTTTTAGCCTTTCTTTCTCACAAGTAAATTATTAGATCACGATAGATTTTTTTCCTGTCGTATACGTTAATTTGTGACGCAGAATGTGCATTCTTTTTTAGTAATTAATATCTCACAAGGTTTATAAATGTGCATATCTTGAATGGTAATTACGAAGCACCGTGTATTGTCCCATTTAATATTTTTAAATTGTATAATTTTAACATATTTTTATTAAATGCACTTTTCTAAATATCATTTTTTCTTAAAAAGATACGTACTTTTCAAAAATATATGTACTTTTGAAACATACCTGTCAAGATACCTTTTTTCGTAGTTGGATCGTTTTCATACCAAATGTTTGTTTACCAAATGTTTGTTACGTCGTTTTCATACACCGTATGTTTATCAAAATTTAATAATGAAACTCTATACGCTTTTTGTTATTTTGAAATCGTGCTTTAAAATTGAATTCAAAACTGAACCATTTACTTTTCTGCTATTAATATATTATATTGGATTTCAATTTATAATAGAAATATAATTTATACTGGAATTATAATTTGTAGTGGAATTATAATTTATAATAGTATTAATATTTATAGTGGAATTATAACTCATTTTAATTTTATTTATTTATATATTTATTTATTTATATATTTATTTATTTATATATTTATCTATATATTTATTTATTTACTTTTATTTTTGAAATAACATTGTATGAAAAAACAAATTGCACGAAAATGAAAGCAAATTGTATGAAAAACAAAGTAACATGGAAGCCATATTTGAAAAATAGTTCGAGTCTTTTTTGTAGAAAAACGGAGTTAGACTCATTTTTATTTCCCAAGAAATCAATTTGATTTCATTTTAAAATTAGCTTCAACCCATTTTTCCTGCCAAATAAAGAGTGCAAATAATCAAATTGTTAAAACAATTCATTAATTCATTTATTTTAACACACTGTACATAAAAATGAACCAAATTAAAGCTGTCCCACTGTTCAAATAAAGCCTTCAAATAATTGATTAAGTTCTCTATCTTCTGTATAAAATAACAAAAAATATATATTTAATAAAGATGTTCGGCATTAAAGCATAGATTTTAGTTTTTCTCATTTAAATATTTTTTAAATAATGTTCAGCTTACATAACATAGAAAAAAAACGTTGCTGCTCAAATATAATATGGAAAATCTGATACTTTTTTTCAGATTTTTGCTTTCAGTTTGTCAGCCGAATATATCTGCAGACAATATAAAGAAGAAATCTTGCAAATAATGCCCAGGATAGATTTTCTATTTGGTAATGAAAGCGAAATTGTAACTTTTGGAGAAGCCTTGATCGGTCAACAGTCAATATCAGGTAAATTCCTTGAAATGTAATAAAAATATATTGATGCATTTGTTATTAATCATTATTAACATGTTAACAATGATTTTTTTTAATTACTTAAACAATTAATTAATATAAAACAAATTTTTAAAACACTTTATTTTAATGAAACAAAAATTAATCTTTAAGATGTTTCTTTATTAATCTGGTAGATATGTCCAAAACTACCAGAATATGGTACAGTTTACCGTGTTTCTAGCTTTGTGGGAACACCAAAAGCTGGGTAATTTTTAACAAAGCACATTGGTAATAATTTTGTTAAAATGAACAATGAAATTGAATTTTATAATTAGTGATAAAATTTGGTTAAATGCAGTAAAATTTGGCAATTGTATCATACCTTACAGCATAGCATAAAAGCCATTTATTCAGTTAAATTAACTTTTCAGTCTTGTTTTTTTTACTAAATGTGTGATAATAAGAGCTATAATTTTGAAAACCAAACTTTCTGCTAAATCGTTGCCATATGAACAGAAAATTTACCAAATAAATGGTTTAAGTACCGTATATTTCGGTTGTATTAACCAGAATTAATGTTGTTGCTTTTTTACCAAAAATGCCACAACGGTAATTTTCCAGAATTTTTTTTTCTATGTTCAATAGTTAAAGCAAAACTAATTTTTAGTAGTTCAGCATCCCATCAAAATAGAGATTAACTGAATTCACTATCATTTGGCATGTTGCTGTTGTCTGAAGGCAACTCATGACTCTCACAATTTGCCACAATCAAGGAATTTTTTCGGGAACTTATCTTTCTCAATGGACCGTAAAAACCACTTTCCATAGTATCTTTATTAAAACTGCACAGTGTTCAAATCGATACCAAAAATAATATCGATACCACATTATCGATACTTATATTTATATATTTGGTACTCATTCATCCGCAAATCATCAACTCGTGACCGCACGCAGTACCGCACGCAGTACCGCAAATCATCAACTCGTTCCTATTGCGTTGTGGTAACGCGTGGCCGTGAACCAGTCATCGTAGCTGATGATTCAGGTACTCTGAAGTACTTTGAAGTACCAGAAGGGATGAAGGTCGTAGACAGCGTTGGATGCGGAGATGCTTTAGCAGGTGCATTCCTCTCAACATATGCACTCACAAAATCCATAGACTTGTCAATTAAAATAGGAATTAGAACAGCTCAGGAGATAGCTCAGATAAAAGGATGTGATCCACCTTCAAAGAAATTTGAATTATAATCCTCCGCATTCCATTCCTTGCTTATTTTATTAATGTCCTTAATGTATTCATACCTTGTATGATGTATTAAGGCTGTTTTATATTGAAAAGTATATTTGTTTTCAAACAGTTTTCATTTCAATATACAATGCAAAATTATTTTATGTTGTGTAACGCAAGCATTGTTTTTAAACAGTTTTTGTGTAGTGAAGAGATTTTATATTAAATAAATAAATAGATAAGGATAGCTGTAATTAAAAAAATTATCCCAAATATCTTAGTACAATTAGATTATTTAATTAAAATTAATAATCAGAATAAATAGCACTCTTAAAAAATTGCGTTTAGTTGTTTTAACACACCAAAACTTTACATTGCTTAAACAAAATTGTATCAAATAACTCACTGATCAAGGAACATTTTATTCAGAGGACGCCTTATCAACAGAGAAATTTTTCGTCTCAAATTCTCTTTTACCTCCATTACTAATTTAAAATTTAAAGAATAAAAAAGTGAATTCAGACAAACTCAGAGTAATCCATGAAGTTTCAAATTACTAAAGGAAAATACTTAAAATATCCAAATATGAAAATAAATTATGAGAAAATAACTTAGGATTACTCAATAGAGAATTTATCTTCCGATAAAATTCCTTGTATTTTGATATTTCGAATTTTTTTTTTCGACATTTCAAACTTCAGGACTTACTCTAAGTTTGTCTGAACTGACTTTTTCTTTAATTTAAATTTTAAATTAGTTATGGAGGTGAAAGAGAATTTATGACGAAAAGTTTCTCCAGTGATATGGCGTCCTCTTAAGCTCTTCCCTATTGCTCGACAATGCTGAAGATTTTATAAAATATATAATTTGTTTTCATTATTTGAGGCTAAATTTCAGATGTGGTTGCTACGCAACGAGTTTTTAAAAGAGAAATTTCCTCATAACATCACGAAATGCTTCATTAACGCTCACGCTTTTTTTTTTCTGTATCTATCGAATAGATGTTCCACATCTAACGCTAAGAACTTGAAGTTCTTTTTAAAGTATTTTTTTTATCTTATCCATTCCTCGATTCATGCATGAAGTAAACAGATATATGGAAAGAGATAGTATTTTTGCATCAACATTGACATATATACATTTTTTTTATCAAATTCTATCGAATTTGATTGCATGCCATCTCAGCAAGAAAATTTAAACATTCTCGATAATCTAAATAAAAATTCAGCGTTTTACTAAAGTTGATGCAAATTTGAACAATATTATTGCCTTATTGCCTTTTTTTTTAATAATATCAGTGTCTATGATTATAAAAAATTATGAATTATGTAAACAAAATTTATTATAAACATTTTTATTAGCAAAAAAAAAAACTAAGTTTTCGAAAGAAAAAAACCTCTTCCATTATTTAAAAGGAATGGTATTTTGAGAATTACACAAGGACTAGTCTTATTTATTGGAAAAAATTATATTTTATTACAATAAGACTGTCAAATTCTCGAGGTTAGCCTGACGGCAAGGGGACTCTAACCCATGATCCGTCTACCACTGAGGATATCTACCCATTTTATTAGACGCCCTATGAGATTCTATGTAGAATCTTAATTATTAGGTAATGCTATGCAGCTTTATTGTTTTTACGTGGCTGAAACCGGTTTGCACTTGTTTACATTCTTGTATCAATTGGTTAACATAATAATGCAATTCGTTAAAAATAAATGCAATTTGTTAAAAATAAATACAAATAGGAAGTATATAAAAAATCTCCTGATTAAAAACCCATTACATGTATGTTTAAATATAAAAGTATTGCATATAAACTCGTGCTAAACATGTAATTATTAAAAAGCTAGAGTGCGTCTACTAATTTGGTCGAATTATTAGAATTTACTTATATAATACCTGATAAATATTCTATATTTATAAACCGGGTTCGAATCCCAGTCGATACGAATTCTGCATCCGGCTTGCGCCGACCACAGTGCTGACGTGAAATATCCTCAACAGTTGACGGATCATGAGTTAGAGTCCCCTTGCCGTTTGGCTAACCGTGGAGGGTTCTCGTGTTCTTCCTCTCCATGTAAACGCAAATGCGGGTTAGCTCCATCAAAAAAGTCCTCCACGGAAGCAAAATTTCTCCCAATACTCGATCCAGGAGTTTCCTTGTCTTCTGGATTGGGTTTTAAATTACAAGGCTACGGAGTTGAACATTAGTAGTCGTAAACCCACAAAATTGGGTCGGCTGTTCAACGATAGTTATAAAATAAAATAATGTATCCAATCATCGAATTTATATTACATATCGTCTAATTTGACTAATTGATACTCGAACGTAAACAAGTACAAACCGGTTTCAGTCGCGTAAAAACAATAAAGCTGTATAGTATTATCTGATAATTAAGATTTTTTATTTAGAATCGTATTGTGCGTCTAATAACTTAGCTAAGGACTGCATTTAAATTATTTTTCACTATTCTTTTGTACAAAAACTTTTTTATAAACAAAAAGTATAACACATTAAACTTTACTCAGCTCTTTATAAACTTAAGACATGATTTATGTTCGTGAGCTCTAAAATGACTACTAAATAACACATCCAGAATATTCCTTATTGTTGCTGAAAAACAAAAAGCAAATATAAGTAAATTAACAATATTTACAATATAATTCGTATCAAATTTTTTGCCCTCTTAAAACTTGATATGGCTACCTAAAGTGATAGCCTTATCGTATGACGATAAGAAAAAACTCGCCTCAGTCTTTGGACAATGTAAGAGTAATATATTATGTTTTCAGCATATGACCGGATAATTGTAAGATAATCTTGAGGATTATCTTACCTTTTAAATCAGAGTATTTTTCACTCACCCTGTAAAAACAAATCCCTGTTTAAAAGAAAAAGTTATCTTTTATAATTCGTGCTGTGGTCAACAGAGTTATTCTGCACTTGTTGCTTTCCTGTTTATGTGCGGTTAAATTGCGCATAGGTAAATACACAATTTTTAAATTTCTTTCATCATGAAATTGTCTTTGTAAATTAATATAAATTTAATTTATTTTAAAATACATCATTTGTATATAATTTGTTCATTTGTAATTTCGAATAATTTTTTAATCACCTACTAATAAGAGATTGTCGTTGACTATTTTAAATACTGATAATTTCAAGTGCTCTTCAAGATTTATAACGCGGAAAATGATGAGGCAGTTAAGATTGCGTCAGTTGCCAGTTACTTTTTGCTAATATTCTTTATTGGACTATTGTTAAAAATTTTCAATATCTGTGATAAGCTTGTGAATTTCGGTTCTTTTGATTTAAAATTATCTTTTCTAGAAGTCCTGACTGCTTATAAAATTATAAAGGATTTTTATATTTTCCTTGTCAAACAGAAACTAAAATAAATATTACAAAATCCTTAAAATATATCGTATATATGAATTACAATAAAATATGAGAATAAGATATTTTATTCTCAGTGTATGACGGAGAGCTTTCTTTAGTCTATGAAGTACAACTTTATTTTTTCCTATTTATCTGTTGTTAAAAAATTATTCATAATTCGACGTCATTCTACATTTTTACTTAAAATAACCTCATTAAGAAATTATATAAGTAATTAAAGATACTTATTAGATAGTTGTGGTTAGATAAACTCCGTTGTGAAATTGCACTTAATTGAAAGTTTTTTTTGCATTATACTAAATTAATGTACTTTTCGATTACTTAATTGACCGTTATTGTGAATAAGCATTTAATTCAACGTCACCACGTAATTATACATCATTACATAGCTGTACATCATTCTGAAATTGAACTTAATTATACTAATTTTAACGTCAAACCTTTAATATTGCTCATTTATGGTGTATTTTGTACGTTTTTAAAATTCTTATAAGCCTTATAATGTTCTTATATTATTATAATGTGATTTAATGTCTTATGATTTAATGAGATTTAATGTTGTTAATCAGCCCAACCATGTGATTTAAATCACATGGTTGGGCCTAATGTTGTGTTCGGCTGGTTAACGTTACAGCAATTATGCTTCATTTATTAGCGAGATAAATCGATTCACTGATCAGATTTAATTAGATGTCATTAAGTGGCGTCACGAGTGTGTGTCTATCCTGATTGGTTGTTGAATCGTGACATAAACGAATATCACTATTTACCCACGATGACGTCACTTGCACTTATTCTATTATGATAACTATGACGACTTTAAAATATTTAATTAAATTCTGCGCAAATAAGAATGAAGATCGGTTCGATTGTTTGATACAAGCATCAATGGTGCCGAAGTACATGTGTTTTTACGTCTTTAGGTACACAAAAGATGACGATCTGAAAAAGGGGAATTACAAAATAATATCATATCAAACATTTGTTGCAGATAATATTCCTCCTGATTTCCACTTATCTTAAATCTACACAAAAGTAATCGTGTTGTATTTTGCAGATCAAACAAATAATTAACAAGCACTGATACAAATTGGTTTTGTTATCGAATTCAAAAACTGAAGAATAAAAAGGAGAAAGAGCAGTTTAATCGAACATTTTGATTGGTTCATCTAGAGTATTTACAACTTCCTAACGCTTATATTCTAAATAGAATGATTTCAATTCGAAGTTCCGAGTTCTTATAATATAGTGCTACAGTTCCGAGTACTTACAAAATTGTAAAGTTAATTTTATTTATTTTTTAAATTCTTGTTTAATTGTTTCTAGTATCCAGGTTGCTAGATATTTTTAAGGTATGTACTTTGAAAGAGTAAATATAGAATTCTCTTTATTATGTGGTTAATGTGCTCATTTTATTTAATTTTCATGAAAATATTTATTATTTATCTTTTTTAATTCTTATTTTGCGTTAAGTTTTTTGATATTCTTATTTTGCTATGCACATTAAAATAATATACCATATCTTATTGTTGTTAACTGCTCTACTATATAATTTATCCTATGTATTTAACTGCCTTATTACTAAGAGAAAAAAGTATGTTCATATAGTAAAATTTACTGCGTTTCTGGCTGTATAGGACTTTTACCGAGCTCGGGTACTTTTATCAAAGAACTTTGCTAATAATTTTGGTAAAATAAACTATAGAATATGGTTTTATGATAAATGGTAAAACTTTGTAAAAGTGGTAAAATTTGGTAATTTTATCATGATGCCTTAGAGCATGGAATAAAAACAATTCATACGGTTAAATTTACTTCTCAGATATATATTTTTTATTAAATATATGATAATAAGACTATAATTTTGAAAACCAGAATTTCAAGTAAATATTACGAACGGAAAAATTTTGATGGTTAAACCAAATGATTGGTTTAAATACCATATATTTTGGTTTCGTTTTACCCAAAATTTCATTATCATACAGTACGAGTATTTTACCAGATTATTTTTTCTCCGTCTATTCAGGGTAATTTAATATTATTTGCAAATTTTTAATTTCTTTTAATAAAAGAAACATTAATATCCGTGGAACACTCCAAAACAAAATTAAAAAATTACAAATTATATTACATACAAAACCAATAAAATTTATTGTATTTTATAATTATTTAAAATAATTGTTTTGTTACTTTTAAAAAGTCAAGCGTAATCTCATAAAGGGAAAATTGCAGGAAAGACAAAGTTTTCTACAACAATGGATAAATACCTATTATTGAAAGAAAAGAAAATTGCAAAAAATAACATTTAAAAATGCAATAGCTTTCAAACAAATAAGAATTTTAAAAAAGAAAAGTCTTGTAAAATTTATTATCCAAAATGGTTCTATCTGCACGTTAAATTTGAACTCTGTAGTTGTATTTCAGTCGACATGTTTTTTTTTTCAATGTTTTTCCCCGACAACATGTTTTTTTTTCACAACAAGTTTAACAGTTGATAATTTTCAAACTAATAATTGAATCGTAATTTTTTATTCCATCATATTTCAAGTACATACATTTCTACAAACCATCACAATTTCAAGTTTCTAAGGCTTGTAGAGTTTAAGTTGTAAAGCAAAATGTAACGTATAGCAAAATTAATCGAGAAAAATTTGCAAAAAGACACATAACTAACTAAGTATTAACTTTTGAACAAATTCAAATTTTGAAGAAAAAAAAACAAATAATATAAACAAATGAGGCCATTGATCATGCCAAATTTTAACTTTAATTTGCATTCCTGTGACTAATAAATAGGTCAGTGTACCATTTTTTCCAGCGAATGAATCCTAAGTAATATTGCACAATTATTCAGTTTTAAGTAATTCAGTATAGTTATTGACTAAGTAAATTTGCATAGGAATTTACTTCTAAGTAACTGTTCATAAAGATTGGATCCTCAGAAACTGCGCATAATTATTAGATTCTAAGTTATTCAAAATTAATCAATTCTAAGTAATTGAGCATAGTTATTGGCTAAATAAATATGGAAAGTGATTTAATTCTGTTCAATTGTTACAAAGATTGGATCCTCAGAAACTGTGCATAGTTATTAGATTCTAAGTTATTCAAAATTAATCAATTCTAAGTAATTGAGCATAGTTATTGGCTAAGTAAATATGCAAAGTGATTTAATTCTGTTCAACTGTTCGCAAAGATTGGATCCTCAGAAACTGCGCATAATTATTAGATTCTAAGTTATTCAAAATTAATCAATTCTAAGTAATTGAGCATAGTTATTGGCTAAGTAAATATGGAAAGTGATTTAATTCTGTTCAATTGTTACAAAGATTGGATCCTCAGAAACTGTGCATAGTTATTAGATTCTAAGTTATTCAAAATTAATCAATTCTAAGTAATTGAGCATAGTTATTGGCTAA